CCGCGCGGGATTTCGCGGAAAAGGCCAGGCGGGCGGCCGAGGCGGCGGCGGCGGCCCCTCCCCCTCCCCCTCCCCCTCCTCCCCCGCCCGTCGTCGTGGCAGCGTCGGAGGCGAAACCGCGCGGGAATCCGCCGATTCATCCTGAGAAGGTCGGACGCCATCCGCCGGGGTCGGGCCGCAACGAACGAGATGGCAAGGGATCGAAATGGACGCCTTTCCCACCCCGCACGAGGCGACCACGCGGCAAATAAAGGGGATGGAAAACGGAATATATTGATAACAACACTAATAATGATAATTGTGTGACGAGTAAAGCTGAGGAGTGCTAAGGATAAACCAAATCCGTGGGATCGTTGTTGTTTTTTGGGAGTACTTCTGATCTTCCTTTTAAAGAAGGGGTGGCGTTTGATGCCTGCATGCGCATACAGAAGGCAGGCACCTTTAATTCAAAGGAGTGGGGGAGGGATCACGGAAAAAAAAAGAGCACCCTTCTAACTTAACACCAATGCGATACTCATCTCTGAATTTTTATACATCATCCAAAGTAAGACGCTGTGGGTTCCCCTGTATGCTTTTCACACAATTTTCTTTCCTGATTATTTTTGTAGATGTGCTCTTTTTTTTTTTGAAGTCTAGTTGATAAATATAAGAAAGAGACGGAGGGAAGGGGTGACTACTTTGCTTAGATCAATCCAAACGTGATTCATTTTTCTAGGCATTGCTATTTTGCTATCAAAAATTCGAATTTACCATAGAAGGGGAGTCACTCAAGGCTAGGGGAGAGCAGATTTATACTTAGCAGGCAAAGGGGTAGAATAGGGCCTAGACGAGGTAAATCTAAATACATAAATAATTATATACATAGATAAACTAGAATCCAGACGTTATTCTCTAAATGGGAGGTAAACGCAAAAAGTCCAAAAGCGGGCCTATCAAGAAGGAAAGTCGTTATAAAATTCCTTCTCGTTTTGACTGCCCGCTGTGTGATGTGAAGAGCTCCATTATAGTGGGAATCTCACGTTCTACGGGTATCGCCACCGTGCACTGTCGCTCCTGTCATGTAGGTAAAGGTAGAAAATGGCCGATCCTACCGCGTGAAAAAGGTGTTGATGTCTTTTTCCGCTTTCGCGAGGAGCTATTAGAGTTAGATCGACAATTCTTGGATAATCATCCGATGGAGATGAGTAGCGGCGGTGCGGGTTTAGGCGGAAGCATCACGAACCTCGCGGAGCTGAGTCGTCAAGAGAATCGCCGATTAGCTTCCGATGCGGCGGGGTATGACGTGAGGGGGGCGAAAAATGGAGCCGGCTACGGTGCTGAGAAGAGAGGAAAACGTCATCGTCCATCGTCGAGCGAGGGGCGCTCCGAAGATGCAGGCGACCATAATAATAATATTGATGATGTGATGAACTTTTTCATCCCGCCTCGTTTCGATGATGAGGATGAAAATGATGGGGCGAATGATCATGATTCTATGACTGAGGAAGAGCAGTACGCCGCGATGTTTGCATAAGCACGCTCTCACATGCACTAATTATTTAGTGCGTGAGGATTATGGTTTGGCTGTAGCTCCTCATCTAGGATAGGGCAAGGTTTAGGCGACGGAGTTGTTTTTTATTTCTTTTTCTGAGCGGGTATTAGTGGGTGGTAACGTATTTAAAAAGGTTGGTTCTCGATGCGGTAAAGGGGAAAACAACAGTAACAGCCCCCCCTCGAAAAAAAAAACTGGATACCCGTATAGTCATATATCCACCTATCTATATATCTATTCGTCCGGACGATTCCCAGTTCGCCACCGTGGTTCCTATTGGGAACCGATCCTATTGGGGTGGTCTCCGTGAATCGTTGTGCTTATTTTCCGAAACGACCCGACGTTGGTGTCGGGGCGTGTTCCTATTTATCCCATAGATCCTGTTCATCTCTTCCTATTGATCGATCTTTCTACGCATAGAGACACGTAAATACCGTGACACACACACCAATACAACTGACCCATACAGCTAGATTGTGACACATAAAGTGTCCCAAAGACACGCACACAGAAAGACCAAGGGGAACATCAAAAGGGGGGCCCCAGAGGAGTGCCGTGGGACAGAGTCATGCCGAGTGAGAAACACAACGGGACGCGCCCTCGTAACGGGCGAACTCGTGATGCGCGCCGTGCGCCCACCAGTGCGGGCCGTTCCACCCCTTTTCAGCCCCTCGTTCACTTCGACTGCCCGGTGTGTGGATGCCGGAATACGGTGCATGTCGAGCTCGATGCGCGGCAGCGTGTGGCGCTTGTGAAGTGCACCCACTGCCTTTCCCTCAAGCCGCGGCCGGCGGAGCTGCCCTTTCCCTACGCCACGCCCTTCGTCCCGCGATTGGAGAACAAGGCGGATGCGTTTTTTCGGTTTAGTGAGGCCTATCGCAAGCTGCTCCCATCTCATCCGGATAGGGAGGTGGCGCCTTCTAAGGGATCGCTCGCCTTGGAGGATCGTAGGAACGACGGGGAGTGGTGTTGCCATGAGGGCGAATTGGCGGCCGAGGCGGGTGGCGTACACGCTTCTTCTCCTTCGACGGCTACTAATGCCTCTCCTTTAGCAAGTGCGAACCTAAATAATAGTAGCAATAGCAGCGATGGTGGGGCTGAAGGTGGTGGGGGTCGCCTTGGAGGGCTTTTGGACGGCCTTGAGGGGATTTTAACCGGATATCCTTCTCAGCGTGTTAAAGGCGCGCCAGACGTTGAATCGGAGAGCGCCAAGGAGCGCGAGGAAATTGTTGAAAATAGTGAGAAGTTATCACATAATTCGACTGACAACCACAGTAAGTCGGTTTCTGAGGGTGAAGAGGGTGAAGAACTCATAGGCGATGTGAGTGCATTCTTTGATGATTAACGGTCTTGCATAATACAAAGATCATGAGTATAATTGCTTCTGACGTTTTTATAAATAGCATCAATTTCTACCCCTCGCTTTTCCTACTATGTAGTTCTGCATATATATATATATATATATATGCATATGCGTGTCTCAGTGTGCTTTCGTAAAGCTGTTCTGCTGAGGTCCATCTTATTGACTATTCTCAACATCGTCTTTGTCCTCTTTTCATTCTTTTCTTTATCATTTATTCATTGTGTTGTATTCATGACTTTAGTTTTTTTTCTCTCGACTAAACGGAAGGAAAAACTCCGTTAATCTTTCCATGTAGATCCGAAAGCGTAATGAATGCACACGTATAGGCTTTGCTTCCGTCATTCTTTACCCTTTTTTGAAAATCTTCGCCGTGTGGTTCGCACCTTATCCAGACCATCTTTGATCCATGATCGAGCGTTTACTGGTGCTATTCGTCGAACATTGTTCACCTACTCCTCTCGTCGGTTGGCTCTAGAGCGTGTTGAGGTTGCCCACTCAACTTCTTACAACCGAGCGTCTACTATCCCTTCCTTTTCTTTTTCCTCCTCGTCGCCAACGCTCTCGTTAAGGGAGCGCTCAGCGGGCAATGGGAGGGTTTCGGGAAATAACCACTATGGTGAGGATTCAGCAGAAAAGGCCGCGTTTGGTGGCGGGGGAAGAGGAGAGGGGGACTTTTCGCCCAGCTACCCCGCGAGCACCCTCGGCTCGCGGAGCAACCTTCCACAACCTATGCGCACCCTCAGTCATGCGGATTCGGAGTGGTTCTTCTTCCGCAATGACGAAGATGATAAGAATGGAGAAAACAGTGTTTATTGTCGCTCGCCGCTCGGAATCGATCAATCCTCGATGTCATCGTCGTCCTCTTCCTCTTCTTCTTCTTCCACCCCTTTTTGTTTGCTTTGTCGGGAGTATATTGAGCCAACGGGGGGTAAACGCCTCCATATCTTCTCCAGCAGTCGCGCGAGCCATACCAACCACACCTGCCGAGAAGTAACCCTTGATTCCTTAGCGCTTCTCGCGATACGAGGCTACCCGCTTGATCACATATACGAGGTATGGTCCGATGCGCTTTACCGACACGAGGCCTTCTTCCGCGTCCATTCGCTCGTTTCCCCTGTGTGGAGCATCGAGCGTCGGGCGGATGAGCTTTTGCGTCTGCTTCTGTTTTTAAAGCAGGTGAAGGTGCTCGACATCTGCCTCGCCGGGGTCGCGCCGGATTTAGCTGGGTCTTCGGAAGCCCTTTATCACAACCGCCGCCGGATCGCGTTCGAGCGGTTGGAGTATATCGGGGATAACGCCTGGAGCACGCAGATCTCCAGCCGTATGATGGTCCTCTACCCGGATCAGCAATGGCAGTATAGCGATCACTCCACGACGTTTAACTGCTTTCGGGATTCGTGCGAGATGAATATTATGCTGGAACTGATGTTCGACGTCCTGCATCTCGGCCAGCTCCATCCGAGCTACGCAGGGGCGAAAATCGGCAGCGGCAAGGTGAAGGCGGATATCTTAGAGGCCCTTATCGGGGAGCTGCATGTGAACGTGTGGGGGTTGGAGCCGCAGATTCACGACGACGCGCCTTTTGTCGAGATTAACGACCTCGAAGGGGCCCGGCTGCTCGCCCTGATTAAGCACTGCTTGACGGAGATCTACGACTTGCTGATTCTGTATCATTCGCGAAATCTGAGCGTGAATGCGCTTCCCCTCGCGAAGGAGTTGGCGGTGCGGCAGATTTGGAAACGAACGATGCCGGCGGTGCAGCGGCATAAAATGGCTCCTCGCCGCGCCATCGCGCGGGCGTCTTTCCAACGCGTGGAGCTTTCCTCGCAAGAAGGCTTGTCCACTTCTTCAGCGCAGCCGACGCCTTGGATGAATCTCAGGCAGTTGCCGAATCTTCACCTTCCCGCGCTTCCTCGACTTTCTGATTCCCCGACGCGGTATCCGCGTGTGGTGGAGCATCCACTCCGCGCGATGCCGCTTAACGAGCTCCCCGCCTCGACGATCGTGGAACACACCCGACAAGACGCCTTTGCCTATCTTCACCAAAGCTTTGAACGATTAGGGCTGCTTAGCAACGATACGTTTCAGGTTTTTAATCGCGTAGGGGGTGGGGTGAAATCGGTGGGGGGTTCCGAAGGGCATGAAGGGGGCGGGCGGCGGGAAGGGCCGCAATGGCGAAAGTATATCCAGCAACTCGTCCCACAGATCTCCCCGGCGGTCGGGTTAGCCTCGCCTTCGTGGAAGCACGAGGAGACGCTGCCGCGGACCTCTCCGGAGGGGAGTCCGGCGATGCCGGCTTCGGGGGCGATCGACGCCGCCTTTTTCGCCCCCCCCCTCCCCGCCGAGGGCTTCTCCGCCGTGTACTTCCGCGATCCGTATTTCAACCTCTTCCCCACGCCCTGCGGGGTCGCGGAGGCGCACGCCTCGCACGCGCGCCGGCGGTTTCGTCAGCTGGGATCGCTGCAGCTCCCCCTCGTCGTCCTCCACGGCAGGCCTCGCGGGAAGGACGAAACCGAACCCGAACGCGAAAACGACCAAAACGAAGACGAAGAAGGGGGTCCCCTCCAGCTCGCGTTGAGGCACGCCCACCCCGCGTTACGCGTGGGGGTTCCCGCGGGCGCGGCCTCGTCCATCCCCGCACGGGCATCCGGCGAGCGGGCGTGTTTATTTCGCCCTTCGAGGTTCGTCCCGGCGGGCGTCAAACCCCCCACCGCGGGCGTCGTGACGGATCGAAATCTCCACTTCGGCCGATACGCCTTTCTCGCCTACGGGCAGTTCACGCCGATGCGTCAACACGCGGCGGAAAGAGCGGAAGGGGCTTCGCATCCAAACGATTCTCCCACGACGCCTTGCGCGAAGACGTCTTCGGGCGTGAACTCCGCCGAGGGCGACCTCTCATGGAAGGGGAATCCCACGGTGGAAGGGAATGCACCAGATGCTAATGACAAGGGTTCGTTTCACGAGGAAACGGTCGAGCAAATCGGCGGGGAAAACGACGCGAAGGAAACGAAACGTAGGGATAACGGCGAAGAGTTCAGTGATGTGGAATCGGCTCGCGTGTTTTGGACGAGATGGGCAAAAACACGGCGCGTTCAGTCGAACAGCTTCTTCTAAATTTTCTCAAGAGCGTGCGTGTGGGTTGGCGGGATAACGGAAAAAGGTACCACTGGAAGGTGTGAGTTTCGCAACTTTTATCGTTTGGCGCCTTTTTTTTCTGAAAAAATCTTTGTATAGGAGTTGTGTGTAGTGGAGAGCGGCGCAAAGCTATCAAGGACAAAAACATGGGAGCCGGATATCTCCTTGGATTAAGAAGTCATAAAATATTTGCTGTTGAACAATGACTTTAAGATAGAACGCATGGAAGGGGGGACAGAAATGGTGAAGGGGGTGGATGATATTATTTTTTCTCCTAATTTTATTTGACTTTTACGATCAAAAGAAAGAACCATAAATATATGCATATATGCATATTTTAAACAAGTTCTGCGTGCTGTAACCCATTGTTTTAGTTAACAGTGACCTCAAATGCCCAAATGTAGCCGAACAAAGAAAGCATCGCCGGCGTCAGCTGCGAATTCAAGCGCCTTAGGCGGCCATGGCGAAGCTATTATAGAGCTGGATCCTAGCATTGTGTACTTTACCTTCTCCCGAATTCGGCCGTGCTTTTCATGCGGGCGGACGATCCAAAGCACCCTCGAGCAATTTCAATCTCAAAAGATGCGGCCCACGGACCTCCCTTTGATTTCCGTCTTCACGGACGGCACGCACTACTACAGCCAGAATAACCGGAGGCTGTTCATGTACAAGAAGCTTCGAGAAATGGATCTGCTTCACGTGATTCCGGTGCGGGTTCGGGCGCTTCCTACAACCAAGCGCATGGGAAACAAATACACCCCTTCAAAATGTTCCTTAACGGCAACTTTGATACGTGAGAGGAATATCGGAACGAATTCTACACAAACCCCAACGCACGTTGGTGGAAACTCCGAGGATGAGAAGGAAAAGGAAAAGGAGGAGGAATCGGAAGGTGTTTCTCCTTGCGGTAAAGCTTCGTTGGCTTCATCGTCAAGCTCCTTTTCGCACACAACCGGTGAGGGAGCAGGGCTGATGCAGGAAAAGGAGCAAAGCGCGCATGATGCTGAACTTAATCGTGGAGGTGTAAATGGTAGTTTGATAACTAGAAAGCGGGAAAAGGCGAGGATGATAGATGCTCGTGAGGAGGGAACAAACACCGGTAAACGGAAAGGATAATGGGGGTTTAAGAGAAGCTAGCAAGGAGGAACGAGGATTGACGGATTTTGAGAGTATGCAGCTCTCTGACAAGGATTTAGGAGCGGCTCGGATTGTGGTCCAGTCGGGTTTCACGCGTCCCCACTCACCACAAAGGATGCCATTCATTAAGATTGACAGTACGATTACGTTTATTTATTAATTTGTAGTTTATCTTTTAGACTTGCGATTGTTATGGATTGATTGATTTAATATCCCCTTCTCTTCCTGATATTAAATGTTGAGCGAGTGTGTGGAAAGCAACTCTTAAAGGAAAATGAAACGATTCTCCAACAGCGCTAGTAAGGATAACCTGATTACGCTCAAAAAGAAGCGGAAGCCCCTCGCAGAGTTGGTGCATGAGGAATTAGACGCATCCACCTCCCATCATTCCCCTTCCGATCGTTATGGAAAAGGAGATCCCCTCACGGGTGACGACGCCGATGCCGGGATGGGCGGGGCGGTGGAGGAATACGACTGGGAAAACGATTCCGAGGAGGCCTTTTCGCCGTCTTCTTCCGCGAAGAACGGAAAAACGCGAAAGCGCCTTCGTGGGGAGGAGGACTCTCGTGGAAAATTACGCCGACGCGGTCCTCTGGATCCGATGTTATCGCAGGGAAAGTACGCGGCCACGCCTGTGGATGTGGAAACGGCGATGGATAACATCTTTGGGGCTCTGGATATGGCGGATTTGGATGCGGAGGGGGAGGAATTATACGAGGTAGACGAGGATGGGGAGGAAGGTTTGGAATCCGACGACGACGATGGTGCGGGAGAGGAAAGCGACGACGACTTCGAGACGCGGGGAAAGAAGAAAGGCAAAAAAGCCGCGCGCAAAAAAGTCAAGCGGGCGAAGGATTTAACGGAGGAGGAGTACGTCGAGTGGCTTTCCAAAAAGCAACAAAAAAGGCGTCGGACGGCCGGAGGTCTTCTCTCCTCATCCGATCCCCACGGTGGGGAGGAGGAGGCGATTTTAGAACAGCTCGAATCGCTCCGGCAACAGCAACTGCAACTCGTTCGTCGAGCCCCCCGGGAAGGGGAAGGGGAAGGAGAGGTGGAATCGAGCAGCGCATCGCCCTCGCGCGCGCAGGAGGCGATTCGACATTTCGTTTCGCTTTACACGCAACTCCTCCACGTGCGGGCGAAGCTGCAGCCCGCGGTTTGCCGCGCGGTCGGCCTCCCGCCGTATTACGCGCGTTCGCTCTTTTTAGAGGGGCTCGAGGACGGGGGGCGCGCGGGAAAACCGGCATCCGCGGCCGCGGAAAACGATCCCGACGTGAGCCCCGAGAAGATTCAACAGGCCTACGCGGATGTTCGGGCGGAGCTCCGTTCGATTTTGGCGATTTTCTTCCAAATCGGCGTGGAGGCCTCCGCGCGCGGGACGAAACCACCCGCTTCACGCCGCTCGGATCCCCCCGCGGTGCCCTCCTTCGCGCAGCTCCAACGACGGCATCGCGAGATCATCCAAAAGGCGTCCGATTGCGTGGCCTTTTGGGGAGATAAATTCGTCCAGGCGAACAGCGCGAAGCTGAAGGTGATCGCGCAGCCGCTCAAAAAGCAGATCGAGGCGATTCTCGCGTCGAAAGGGCGACTTCGGATTCGCGTGCAGAAGAACGCCGCGCATCAGGTGATTCTCGGGCATCCGTTGCACTCTCGCGCGCGTTTGGAGGTTTCCACGGCGGCCGACCCTTCCGAGGCGGATCGCGTTCTTCAGGCGAAGACGCAACGCGCGATGGCGATCGCGGCCGGCGATCTCGATGAGGAGCTCTACGACGATTCCGATTTCGTGCGGGAGTTGGTGCGGCGTGGCGGGTTTGCCGCGCAACAGCTGAAGCAGCAGCTCCTTGACCTCGCGACTCCCCCACAGTTGGGGAAGGAGCCCGCGAAAAAAGGGTTTCACCGCCTTACCAAAGGGAAATCGGTGAGTTATGAACCCCGGCCGAAGATTGTGGGGTTTCAAATGGCGCGAGGATTTGAGGGGAGTGGGCGGAATGATGTCATCATGAAATCCCTTTTTCAGTGAATACCAAGTGGGGAAGAAAAAATGGGGATGAGCTGAAATCGCCAAGAAAACTTCCCCCTCCTCCCCGAAAAAAAAATGGAATCCGATCTCGTCAGAGATGCTGAGGGGATCATCCTTTTTCTTGAATGACGACGCACCCTAACACAGAGAGGAAAGTAATAAAAATGAATGCCCACGCATGCATGAGACCCACCCATTTGGGTTTCATGCCTGCGTGGATCGATTAAAGTAATCTGCCGTCTAATCATAAGCTCTTTTGCATTTTTAAGCAGTAAACCAACGGAACTCTTGTTTTAACATGATGGGATGCGATTCTGTGACGGTGAAACAACGGACTCTTCATTTCCCCTTTCCCCCTCTCCTTCTTTGCATGATCCCCACGGGTAGGAAAATATTACGTCGTGAAGCGAATTCCTCCTAGACGACACCCCGCTCTCCCAAAAGGCGACCCCGTAGCCCTTCCCGTTCCCGCGTTCCCTCTTCCCGTGGTTTTGTTCTTCGCCGATGGCAGGGCACGAATCGGCCGGGCGCACGCCGGCGGAGTGGGTGAATCAACTCTTTCGGGAGGCCGTTTTCCCAGCCCTCTGGCCGC